GGCAGCAGAGACCGGGTGCAGGAATGCTGAGAAGGCACGGTATTAATCATGTGTCCAAATGAAAGGGAAGGATGGGTGTCAGTGGGGTGCCGCCTGTCCAGGAAACGTTCCATAGAGTGTGGTCCCTGTTGAAGTCTTGGTGTGAGAATCCACAGTTCAGTGTGTAGCGCAGACATTTCCCATAGCAAAACCTGAGCACAGTGCAAGTCTTAGTTCCACACAGCTACCGCTCTTGATGGTGGCAAGAACTGTTTTTATTTTTTTCCATAATTTTATTGAGAAACAAATAGCAATGAGACAGTTTCAAACCAAATTGGTAGGATGCAAGAACTATTTTTAAATAAATAAATGAACACAGTAAGGCCTCACTTCACAAATGCTTCCGTGCTCAGATGATTAGCTCACAAGCAGCAGCATTTGGCAAAATCTTTCTTCCTGTAACAGACTCCACAATGGGGTGATGAACATGAACTCAGGCTTCTTCCCCACAAGAACGCAGCCCTCTTCCCCAGAATGATGGAATGAATCTAGTTCACGAACCCAAGTTCCACTGTATTTAAATCTGCCTGGTTTTAAATCTTATTTACTTTGGACAAAGAAACTGCACCATCTTCATACTAGCATAGATCAACAAAGTCAGTGATGAGCTGTCTTTGTAAGTATGAATGTAGAGCAGACATGGAAAATGTCAGTACTATTTTTAGTCCTGAGGACCCAACCCAGGGCCTTCACACTGAGCTACACCCCCGGCCCTTCTGTAGTTATTTTGAGATAAGTTCTCTCTAAATCCCCCAAGCTGGGTTTGAACTTGTGAACCTCTTGACTCCAGTGGTGTTGGCATTACAAGCATGCACTACTATAGTCATGCCTGAAAGGTGTCGGCTTTGAATTAGTCACTGAGAGGAACGAGTTGTGGAGTGTTTTCTGGTGCTGAGCTTTGAGTGGGCGTTTTGTCTGGGCTCACGTGTGAAAAGCCACATACAAGCCATGTTCCTGGAGCTGCTACGAGGCTGGGAATTTCAACAGCAGTACAAATCACTTTGTGAGTGCACTGTCAGGCGTCCCCACATCTAAGCTGTGTGACAAGGCATTGATGTGGCTGAATTAGCTGCCAGTGTGTAGCTGGCAGCGCAGGCTGAGTCATTCTCCCCTTGTTAGTATTTTGTTTCTTTGGCTTTCTTTTGTTAGTTGCTCGGCTGCTCTCGTTTCTTTCCTTCTGCTATTTGCTCACGTGTTATTTTGATCATGATCTCTTTGAGATATGTAAATTGTTTCTCATAAACATAGCTAGGAGGTATATTTTCTGAGATTTTTTACATTTTCTTTCAATGAGTTGATCAAAAACTACCATCTTCTCTCTGTATAAAATTCTTGGGTCAGAAACAAATCCTCTCAGAACACTGCAGTTCTTATTTGGGTTCTTCTGACTCTAACTTGATTATGTCCATGATTGATCATTCTGTATACAAAAATGCACTAATAAGCTTAAGTAAAAATAAATAAAATACTTCCATTTGCTCTTTCTGATGGGAAGCTTCTAGAACTCTCCATTCATCCCTGAAGCTTAAACTCCTTAGCCACATTTGCCTTAGCATAAACGTTACTTTAGGCTTGACTGCAAAACTTGGGGAAACACTCACTGTCCATCTGCATCTGTGTGTGCACTATTACAACAGAAAACCCCGCATCGCATGGTTTATAAGCAGAAGCTTATTAGGCTTAAGGTTCTGGAGGCTGGAAGTCCCCAGTCAAGGAGCTACGTCTGCCAAGGGACTCCATGCGGCACCATCCTGTGGTAGAAGGCAGAAAGGCAAGCAGAGCAGGAAGGAGGGAGAGGGGGCGTGATTCCGCCTTCGCTTCATAGCCCCATCGTGTGGAACCCTTGACACCTAGGTAGCCCTTACTGCCCCCTTCATCGCTATTGCACTGGGGACTCACTTGCACATACATGAGCTGTGGGGGACACATTCAACATTCGAGCAATCACTGCAATGTTATATGTTTACAATATGTAATATTCATGTTCATTTTGAAGAGCCGATACATGTGTACCTTTCGGTCACGTTCCGACCGCTCCCTTCCCACCCACCTCCCTCTCCCGTTCCCCTGTTATCTCCAGCCCCTAAAATTCCGCTTTCCTGTTTACAAGGTCTCTTCTGTTTTACTGTATACTGTGTGTGTGTGTGTATGTGTGTGTGTGTGTGTGTTACCCAGGATTGAACTCAGGACATTGTGCAACTGTATACTCTTTGTTTTAAACTTCTCATATAACACAGATCATATTACATCTAACTTTCCATCTCTGACATGTTCCACTTATTACACATTTCAACATTCATCCATTTAGAGCCGTCGAGATAGCTCAGTGGACTAAGTGCCTGCTTAGGCAAGCACAGGGACTGGGGTTTGATCTGCGTGGTGCTGCACCAGCCCTGCCCCCAGCCATGCTGAGCCGTCCAGCTGTGCAGTAAGACCCTGGACCAAGTACATTTTTTAAAAAAAGATTCATCCATTTTTCTGCAAATGACACGAATTTTTTTGTTCTCCATTTCTAGAAAGTTTTTTTTTAATTATTCAAGTGGTTTTTGGCTGATTCCTTTCTCAGTATGGGTAAGTTTTTCTCTCATTCCTTCAGTCATTACCTAGATCTTCTCACACTTGGGTCTCCTGGCCTCTCTCTTTTTATCGTTTCCCTTTCACTACATCCCAAAGAAGTCACTGAAGGTATCCCGCCCCGCTTACATTTCCTTATGGCGCAGTCTACTTCCCCTCCTTCAAACAACAATCTCTGCTTTGATTTTTATTTCTTTGTACTTCTTTTTCATCCCAAACATCTTAAGAAATGATGTCCTTTTT